TGCGCACTCGCGCGTCGTCGCGCGCGCATTCCGAAATCTTCGAACAAAAACCTCAGTCTTCGCAGGGACTGACATATCCAAACACACTGCTTTGCACCGTCCTTCGCGCTGCTGCGAATCTTGAAGAGAATTTTGAAGCCTGCCTTCGCGCTGTGAACTGAAGTGCGGCGAAGTCGCCGATTCGCAGTGAAGTGCCCGCTGGGAAGTGCCCAGCGGTCAGCGCCACCGTGGCCGCGTCGGTCGCGCCAAACTAGCTGGACGTTGCGTGCATGAACATGTGCGGGCTAGCGCGGCCGCAGCGATGCTCCAGCCAACGCCGAACAGACATTGCAATCACCGCCGCATGGGTTCTGCAAACCCCAGTTGCAAGCGGGTGGGTGGGATGGTTGCGTGGGCAGTGGAGATGGCAAGCTCAAGTTCGGCGAGGTCAGTTTTCCTTTCTACAGACAGACTAGGATCTACCCCCCCCCCGGCGTTATCGGCCCCCTTTTCGGATATGTAAATCATAGATGATTCTGACCGCATGTCCATCCGAACTATGATTTTACACTATCCCAGGGGGGCCGGTATCCCCCCCCTGAGGTTCCCTTGTGAACAACACTATGCGGTGACATTCTTTGTTCTAACATCGCATTTTTCACGAATCCCTTGCAACAGATGGGACGAAGTGCGTACGCGCGCCGTCGCGCGCGCATGCCGAAATCCTTCAAAAACCTTAGGTGCCGGAAGGATTTCGCAATCGAGTTTCCAAAACACATACAAAAACATATGGCTTCGCAACACTGAAACAAAGATTCCGCGCGAGCTCTTGCGAAATCTTAAGAAAACCATGGGTGTTTCAAGATTTTCACAAAATGCTATTAAACGGGCGTCGCGCGCGCGCGCATGTCGAAATCTGTCGAACGCCCTTGCGCGTGTGCCGTCGCGAGAATCCTCTGCAAAAAAAACGGGACAAAGTGCGGACGCGCGCGTCGTCGCGCGCGTGTGCCGAAAACCTTCAAAACCCATCGGTTTCGGAAGGATTTCAAAATCGTGTTTCCACAAAACCTACAAAAACACAAGATTTCGCAACACGGATTTTCAACAAAAGCGTGCGCGCGCGCTCTTGCGTCGTCGTCGTCGTCGTCCTTCCTCTTCCCTCGTCGTCGTCGTCGTCGTCGCCGTCGTCGTCTTCTGTCTTTCCTCGTCGTCGTCGTCGTCGTCGTCTTGGCGTCGTTGTCGCTTCCGTCGTCGTCGTCGCCGTCTTCCTCGTCGTCTTCGTCGGCGTTTCGTCGTTGTCCCTCCTATTTCGTCGCCGTCGTCGTCGCCGTCGTCGCCGTCTCGTCGTCGTCCCTCCTATTTCGTCGCCGTCGTCGTCGTCGTCGTCTTCGTCGTCGTTGTCGTCGTCGTCGTCTTCCCTCCTCCCTCGTCGTTGTCGTCGTCGGCGTCGCCGTCCTTCCTCCTTTTTCGTCGTTCGCGTCGTCGCCGTCTTCCCTCATCCATCGTCGTTGTCGTCGTTGTCGCCGTCGTCGTCCTCCCTCCTCCCTCGTCGTCGTTTTCGTTCGCGACGTCGTCGTCGTCTTCGTCGTCGTCGACGTCGGCGTCGTCGTCGTCTTCGTCGACGTCGACGTCGGCGGTGTCGTCGTAGTCGGTGTCGGCGGCGCCGTCGTCGTCGTTGTCGCTGTCGTCGTCGGCGTCGGTGTCGTGGCCAAGTGCCATGTGGTACCTACCGTCACGGTCTTGTCTTAAGAAGTCTTGCGACCAAGTTGCGGGTGGGCGGGTGGGATGTTTGCGCGAGCAGTGGAGGTGGTCAGGCGCAGTGCAGGGTAGTCAATTGCACCACGTAGGTTGCACCACATATAGTGCGCCATATAGATTCTCCTTTTTAAAAAAGGAGATCGGTTCTACCACCCTCCCCCCCCAGACTTATCGACTCCCCGGGAATCAATGCACAACACATATGATTCTGACCCAATGTACATCCGAGTTGTGAGTTCATATGATCCCAGCCAGGACGGTATCGGTCCCCCCTTCGGTTCCCTGGCTAAAATACTATACGCTGACTTTTTTGTGTTCTAACATTGCACTTTTCCCCGAATTCCTTTCTTGAAAAATACCATGTGGGGCAAGCGCGCGCGGCCGCTGCGCGCGCATGTCGAAATTCTCCCAACACACATCATGCTTTCAAGAAGACCTACCAAACCATACGACTTTCTCACCCAATAATTCTAAAACATCTGCCCGCGCGCTTTTGTTGAATCCTTCTAAAACCATTTGTTTTTCAACATTATTGTCAAATCAGGCTTATTGGGCAATTTTTGCAGCGCCACCGTGGCCGCGTCGGTCGCGCCAAACTAGCTGGCCGCTGCGCTCGCGAGCATGCGCGGGCTATCGCGGCCGCGCAGATACACCAGCCAACACCAAGCATTCATCGCAATCGCTTCCGCATGGACTTTGTAAACCAAGTTGCGGGCGGGTGGGTGGGATGGTTGCGCGAGCAGTGGAGTTGACAATCTCATGTTCGTCAAGTGAATCCTCCTTTCTATAAACAGAATAAACTCTCCCCCCCCGGCGTTATCGCTACCCCTTTCGGGTATGTAAATCACGTATGATTCTGACCACATGTTCATCCTAAATATGAAATTGTAATGTCCCAGGCCGCTGGGTTCTCCCCCCTGAGGTTTTTTTGGAAACAACTCTATGCGGTGACATGTTTGGTTCTAACAGAGCACTTCTTCGCTAATCCCTTACAAAAAATGAGACGAAGTGCACACGCGCGCGTCGTCGCGCGCGCATGCCGAAATCCTTCAAAAACCCTAGGTGTCGGAAGGATTTCGCAATCGAGTTTCCAAAACACATACAAAAACACAGGGTTTCGCAACAATGATTTCCTTAAGAAAGCTTACGCGCGAGCTCTTGCGAAAGCTTGGGAAAACCATAGGTTTTTCAAGATTTTAACAAAATGCTATCAAACGGGCGTCGCGCGCGCGCGCATGTCGAAATCTGTCGAACGCCCTTGCGCGTGTGCCGTCGCGAGAATCCTCTGCAAAAAACGGGACGAAGTGCAGACGCGCGCGTCGTCGCGCGCGTATGCCGAAATCCTTCAAAACCCATCGGTTTCGGAAGGATTTCAAAATCGCGCGTCCAAAAAACCTACAAAAACACAAGGTTTCGCAACACGGATTTTCAACAAAAGCGTGCGCGCGCGCTCTTGCGGCGTCGTCGTCGTCGTCGTCGTCGCCGTCCTCCCTCATCCCGCGTCGTCGTCGTCGTCGTCGTCGCCTACGTCGTCCTGTGTCTTTCATCGTGTTCGTCGTCTCGTCGTCGTCCCTCCTCTTTGGCGTCGTGGTCGTTTCCGTCGTCGTTGTCGCCGTGGTCGTCCTTCCTCCTCCTCCCTCGTCGTCGTCGTCGTCGTCCGTCGTCGGCGTCTCGTCGTCGTCCCTCCTATTTCGTCGCCGTCGTCGTCGTCGTTGTCGTCGTCGTCTCGTCGTCGTCTTCCCTCCTCCCTCGTCGTTGTCGTCGTTGGCGTCGCCGTCCTTCCTCCTTCTTCGTCGTTCGCGTCGTCGCCGTCCTCCCTCCTCCCTCGTTGTCGTCGTTGTCGTCGTTGTCGTCGTTGTCGCCGTGGTCGTCCTCCCTCCTCCCTCGTCGTCGTCTTCGTTGGCGACGTCGCCGTCGTCTTCGTCGTCGTCGTCGTCGGCGTCGGCGTCGTCGTCTTCGTCGTCAACGACGTCGGAGTCGTCGTCGTCGCCGCCGTCGTCGTCGTCGTCGTCGTCGTCGGACGTCTTGCTTCTCCGGCCTTCTTGGGGCGCTCTTGAGACGCCCCCGAGGGCTCCAAGACGACCCCGGAGCGATCTCTGTGCTCGGTCCCGCACGGGTTTTGCAAACCAAGTTGCGAGTGGGTGGGTGGGATGATTGCGCGAGCAGTGGAGTTGACAACGTCAAGTTCGGCAAGCACCACATAGTTTGCACCACACACATTGCTAGAAGTACTCTGTTTTGGGCCCACTGTGGCCAAAATAAGAATGCTACACTATCGGAGGCTGTGGGGTGAGATCGCAGTGGTACGCAAAACCCCCAACCGGGAACATTTCGGATTCGTGTTCGTGGCGCGCGTGCGGGCGATGCGAAGTTGCATAGGCGTGCGAGAGGAGTGGCCCCGACGTCACTGAGGCGATTCGGATGCAGTGGACCGCCCCTCCGCCCCCGGTGTGCGCGGGGTGGCCACAGGTGTCCCGCCGTGGTGTCCTGTGGTGTCCCTTTCGTGTCCCGTTGGTGTCCCGTCGGTTCCGTCGGCGGTGGGCGGGCGGTGGCCGGGGGTGTCCCGCCTTGGTTTCGATAGTGAAGTCGATAGTTGGATCGTTATTGAGATCGCCATAATGGGATGGATGGAGATATCAAAAGTGAAAGGATGCGCAGGGAGGCGACGTCCCTGGGGTCGTGCAGATCTCGCGGGTCAGGCGATTTCCTCCGTGGCGAGCACACTTGTGATCGATCGCTGAATCGATTGGTAGTAAGACTGCCCGTGAGGTCGATAGTAGGTTCGATCGAGTGAGATCGGACGCGGGGACGGTAGTGACATTACATCGCAGCAGCGCAAAATCGTCATCACGCGTCGTCGCTAACTCGAGGACGCGTCACCAGTATCGTCATCATCACACCCATCGCATTGCCAGCTGTTGGTTCCCCCCCCCACTGCCCAACCTCTTTATCACCCGTAGGGTGGTTGTACAGGCATGATCGGGTCGGACGCTCGCCTCCAAGGAGGACACACCGTACCAGTATGTGTTCCTAGCACTGTCTCTGACTTCCTAAACGCCTGGTGGCTTTCGGCTTATAACTCGGGCGTCCAGCGGCCGTTCGGAACGAGCTGGGCACCCCTGGAACGCCCTCGGCGAGGCGCAGCCGCTGGAAGGCACCCCGATCTGCGAAACCGACAGGGACCGACGCAAACGCTTCAAAACCTCGAACCCCGAATGTAGTCCTTTGCGTTCCAGGCGAGGGACAAGTTGCGGCCCCTGCAGATGGAGGCCGTGCTGCAGCGCATCGCGGCCGGCTGCCCGGCGGCCTCGCGGCGCTCGGCGGAGGGCCGCCGCGCGTGGGCCGCGGGTGCGGGGTTGCCCTGGGTGCCGCTGTCAGCGCAGCCGCGCCTGGGCGCCAAGAAGGCGCTCGGGGCGGAGGCCTTGAGGAGCAGAAAACGGCGTAGACACACTCAGGCCCCCTTCGAGCCATGAACAAAAGCACGGCGGACCGGTTTTCTGTATTTTCGGCCTCTGGGGGCCCTCGCCGGGCCCCAGGACCGTTGAAAAACGTCTTAGGATGAAACGCCTGTCCTGGGGAAAGGGTCGAGACACTTAGGGGTCGGCGTTATGAACAAATCATGACGTCGCTGGGCACAGGGCTCATGTCGACTCCTCCGACTTGATTCGATTCGAGTTCGATCGGTTCCGATTCCGCTTCGATTCGCCTTCGGATGCCGATTCGGACTTAGGTTTCTCAGTGGAGGCCTCACTAGTTCGCCGATGTATGCCGATTCGACTTCTCCCGACTTGGTTGCCGATATCGGTCGATCCCATTCATACCGATCGCCGATCCGACTTATCGATTCGATACCGGGCTCTCCTGCGAGCATAATTTCGCGGATCTCCAAGAAATCATGTTTATGTAGCACCCTGCAGTGGCGGATAAGAGTGAGGGAGCATGAGCGGGGTTGGTTGCAGGTGGGTCGCGGAGTGGATCGCAGGGTGGTCGCGGGTGGGTCGCAGGGGTGGTGCGGGCGAGGACGACGACAATTACAAACAAAAACAACAACAACAACAACAGCAGCAACAACAACACCAACAACAACAACAACCACGACAACACCGACAGCAACAGCAACAACAACAACGACAATCATGTTAATATTGTTCGCTCTTCTCTGCTCGCGTGCCATTCAACACGTATATCCCAATCCCTCGATACGCGCCTTCTTCGTCTTCGATCGTACCCCCTTGGGTGTATGTCATTCTAACCTGCAGCAAGCAGATCGGGCGGGTAGACCCTAACAGGCGGGTCGAGAAGGCGGGCCCAGGCGGCCTGGTCGAGCAGGCGGGTTATGAAGCGTGCGTCCTGCATGAATCGCGAGAAAATCTCGAGCGATAGCGCGATTCCGAGGTACATCGTGAGGAAATCCACAGCGAGAGCGTGACTGCTGAGTGCTAAAGGCGTGGCGTCTGAAGAAATTGCGGGGAAGTCCAACGCGAGAGCGCAATTCCTGCATACATTATGAACTCCCGCGCGAGAGCGCAATTTTGGAGTACATTGTGAGGAAGTATCAGACGGGAGCCGTTGTTTTTGCAATTCGGAGGCCAGGGGACCAGTTTGGTGGCACCTCACCTCCCCGTGTAAAAAAAAACAGGGTGCGAGCCCCGGGAGGAGCACACTAATTGACAAAAGTGTCATGTGCCCCGGAGTGGGGCTGGCGGCGTGCGCAGCCAACGGCAGCGCTGGCGCTGGCATCACGACGCGTGCGGGGCCCGTCAGCTGGGCCCTGCCGCTGGCGATCCTAGCCAGTGAGTGGGCGGCGTTGCTGCCAGGCTTCCTGACGTACGGCGAGGCCGAGGTGGAGGAGGACAGCGAGCCCCTCTTCCGGGAGCCTGACGGTGACGAGCCTGGGGAGCTGTTCAAGGGCTCGCGTGCGAGCTTCATGGCGCCCTGGGCGCGTTGGAACAGGCTCAGGCTCTACTTCCAGTCGCCGACGAAGCCGACGGGGGTGGTGCTCCTCTTGCTGACTCGAGTAGGAGGGGCGAAGAGCACCGTGTGGACCGCGGTCGACCCGACTCAGAGAGTGGTGTGCGTGAACGTCCGTGACAAGAAGTACGCGCTGAGCAAGCCGAAGCAGGGCATTGTCTGGACTGAACACCCTGGGCTGAATGAGAAGCAGCCGGATGCGGCTTTGATTGTGTCAGAGCGCTTGATCGCCCGCTCGGAGCTGAAGGATGCCGAGGCGAGGTCGGAGAAGGTCAAGGCCGCTGAGCTGAAGAGAAAGAAGAAGCCGAGCTCCAAGACGCAGACCGGGAGCTGGATGTTCAAGGGAGTCTCTACACTCATGGTGGCGGGCTGGAGCTACCGTACGGCAGGAGCCTGGGGCTCCGTGGCTTTCCTTGGCTGGAGGCTGTGGCGTTACTTCGAGCTCGGGTCCTGGGTGAGCAGCGGGTATCATGGTGCTCGTGCTGCGTTCCAGGCCTTCGAGGATTTCGTGGAGCTGATCGGGGACATGTACGACAACGGGGACTTGGAGAAGATTGCGTGCGCCATCGGGGGCATCGCAGTCAGTGGCTACATGACGTGGATGTACATGAGTAGCTCCAGCGAGGACCGAGGTGACAGCTCGGACAGTGACAGCGGGGGCGAGGACGGCACCAGGGTGGTTGACGGGCGCGACGCGACGGGCAGCGAGGATGAGCCCGACGCCAAAGCTCTCTTTACCGAGCTGGCGAGGGGGCAGGCGGAGCTGGCGTCGGCCATGATCGATTTAAAGGACAAGATGCGCGAGGAGGTGGGTGCTCGCCCTCCGATGCCCCCACCGCCCCAGGCGCCGCCCCCTGGCGAAGCTAGGCGCGAGGGCGGCGCCTTGAGAGGAGGAGCGGAGGAGGAGGGCGAGCCCAGCGTTGGTGACATCGACGCCTTCATCAAGAAGCTGAACGAGCACGAGAGTGTTGTCCAGAAGGACCCGGCCAGAGCTACAGCGGGGTCGCCCCCGATTCCAGTCAGCAAGTGGGAGCAGCGGCTCCTGGGAGAAGCTCAGCGGCGACTTCGACGACCCACTGAAGGAGCAGATCGTGCAGCTGAAGTTGGAGGCGACCAACCCCATGGACTGCTTGCTGAATGTGCTGCAGCAGTACAGGCCCGCCGTCGGTGCCCAGGTGGGCGGCGTCAGGACGAGGGTCGCTCCCACGGCGCTGGCGAAGCTCTACCGCGGGGGGCGGACTGCCCGCGTCGAGACGCAGGAGCGGTTGCGGGCCAAGGAGCTGCAGACGGCCTCCGTGGCGAACGAGGTGAACATGTTGGCGATGGCGCTGGACCGCGTGATGAGCTCGGGCGAGCACGACGCCCTGATCAACAGCCAGGCGTCGGAGCTCACGTGCCTGCGGCTCTACTCGATCTGGAAGGCCTACGAGCGGGTGCAGTGCCGAGCGGACTGGCAGCGCCCCAAGGCGCAAAATGGGGGCAAGTGGAAGTCCAGGGTCGACTGGAGCCTGGCCGAGGAGCACCTACGTCTGGACGGTGATCGGGACAGCGAGAACTTGAAGGCCGACAAGGAGGTGCTTGAGAAGCTGAAGCGACGCGCGACCCTGAACAAGCACCTGAGTCAGGGTGGCGGTGGGGGAGACGGCGCTGACGGCGAATAGGTTGCGGCCGGTGCGATCGTGGTAAGCACTGGTCCAAAGCGTGCTGTAGGCACTGCACCACGTGGCTTGAGGGGGTCGTCGGCCCTCGCTCGCCAGCCTCGCCCCGCCGTCTTCATCGGGCTCATCGGGGGCCTGCTGGGTTGGTTGTTCTACGAGCTTTCCTGGAAGGAGTTTCCCTCCCAGGAGATGAGTAGGCCGCGGCTTAAATTGACCCCCCCCTTCGCATAATTCCGCCCAAGAAAAGCCGAAATGTAGCCGTGCTCTGTGGGCGAGCAGCTTTCCTGCGAGCGTGGCTTTTTTCATTGAGCGAGCAGCTTTTCTGCGTGCGCGAGTAGCTAGAGCTTCGGCGCGTTTGAGTGTCGGGCGCGCCGGTCTGCTCTAGCGCAGCCCGTGCGAGTTTCAACCCGATTCGACTGCGGATCTGTGCGTGCGCCATCGCTCCATGATGCGTTCTGCGAGCTTCAGGACATGGCGTGTTTTTTTGTTGTCGCTGTGATGATGCGCGCGCCCCGCACGGGCGCCTTCGTCTGCCCTGGCCGATTGGGTGGGCACTGCAAGATCTTGCAAGGTTTAGGGGTCTCTCGCGCTTTTCGTCGGTCCGGGTCTCTTCGCGGTTTTCGCGCTCACGGGCGTCCAGCGGGATCGCCCGTAAGATGCAGGTGGCGCGCGCCTTTCCCCCGTTCGTTTGTTGCTATTTTGGTTGTGCGGGAAAATGACAGTCCGTTTTATTGCAATACAAGCACATAGAAATCATCAGCAAAAAACCTTCCCGCTCATCCCGCGCCCTTGGACTCCCTCCCACGGCAATCACCCCCCACAAGACCAGCCCCAATATGCACTTTGATGGCGGGGGCTTATGTGACCCCGACGTCGGGTTCACTCATTCGTTTCTTTGCCATGGCTCCTCCACCCTTCATCCCTCCTTGGTCCTCCCTCCTCCCTTCTCGTCCCTCCCTCCTCGTTCCTCCCTCATCCTCCCTCCTCCCTCCCTCCTCGCTCCTCCCTCCTCCCTCTTCCCTCCTTCGCCCCCCTCCTACCTCCTTCGCTCCCTTCCTCGTCATCCGAACCATGGATAATCTTCAATGCCAGACAACTCGATTGAAGGCCATTCCCAGTGCTCCCATAGCATTGTGGCCTCATGTTTGCCTCGCCTGCGCCTCGGCTGTCCCGCGGCTGTCCCGCGGCTGTCCCGCGGATGTCCCGCGGCTGTCCCGCGGCTGTCCCGCGGCTGTCCCGCGGCGGGCCGCGGCTTTACTGGCCCGGGCCGCAGCTTTATTGCCCGACGGCCCGCTTTGCTTCGGCTGTCCCGCGGCTGTCCCGCGGCTGTCCCGCGGCTGTCCCGCGGCTGTCCCGTGGCTGTCCCGCGGCTGTCCCGTGGCTGTCCCGCGGCTGTCCCGGCGCAGTCTGGCGCTGTCATATTACACTTGAACATGTGTTTTCGGTCGCCAATACCAGCGGCACGCGGCGCGTCCGGCCCCACACAGTTGGTATCATCATTATAGTTGCATTGCTGCCTGCGGACACTGCTCGGAACAACGAGAAGGCGACACCAACTTGTTCATAGTATTGTCATTAAAGGAGTTGGGCTTCCCGGGGGCCTCCTGGGGGAGCGCCGTGGCCACTTGGAGCCGCCTTGGGGCGGCCGCGGGACATCTCGGAGGCAAATTGGAAGGTATCTTGAACGACGTTGGGTTCTCATGAGTCATATTTGAGGTCATCATGGGCTTTCTGGGGCCGTCGCGGAGCCATTTTGGGCCATCTTAGGCGCTCTAGCCCATCGCGGGGGA